ACTTTTGAAGAAAAAAAAAACAACTACTTCGACCCTGGCTTTTTGAACAGCTGTTGCTAGGAATTTCTTTTACAGTTGTTTTTCTTGTGACAATTTGAAGATTTTTTTTGGTTCCAATATTTTGATTTTTTTTTTTTTACCTTGACCTTGTATTTGAATTGCATTTGAGAAATTGTAATCTTCACCATGAGGTCCCATATGGGGGAGTCAGTGTTTCAAAAACATTTTGTTTTAAGGTTTCGTCAAAGGCCAACACGTCTAAAAATTTATTTTTACAATAGCCCCAAAACTATGTGAGGTATAAAGTTAAAACTTTTACAGTTTATAAATTTTTCATTGATTAACATATACAAAGTATCACTTGATAAAATAAATACTTGGAAAAAATATTAATTAAGAAAAATTCTTCTTAAAATGCATATGTTTTAATAGATCTTGGTGAAAACCATTATTGCAGAAACAAAATATGTTTATCAATGAAGGGCAAGTTGGACTAGGATAGCCTCTGGAAAGTTGTTTTCCCTGTTTATTTTGTCCAAATGTTAAGACTTGAAAGTGAAAGTACAATGCAAATGGCAGATTTTATAGGTGTCTTGTCTTTATACTTGTCATGCTTTCAATAACAGCCTTTCAGAGACCATTCAAGTCCAACTTGCCCTTCAATGATAAACACATATTATTTTTTCAACGATGGTTTTCACAAAAAAGACAGAATAAAGCAAGTGCATTTTTCTTAAAATATGCACATTTCCTGATACAATTTTTCTCAAAAAATATCTTTTTAAAAATATTTGTCATCAAGTGATACTTTCTATCTATTAATCAATGATATATTTAAAACCTGTAAAGGTTTTAACTTTATACCACACATAGTTTTTTAGCTATTGTAAAAATGATTTTTTAGACATGTTGACCTTTGACGAAAAACCTTAATATCTAAAGAGATAAAAAAAAAATGAATTGAAGAATAACAATATATGGTATCAGTTTTCTTAATTCATGACAAAATACATAAACATTTGTTCTATAATATCAGTAGTACACCATACATGTACTTAAGTATCATTTCAAAATATGTGCTTGTATTAATACAGATATTTAAAACCTAAATCAATTTAAACTAAATCAGTTATTCAATATTGTTCATCTATGTTTAGAATATTACTTCAAATATTAAAGAAAAATTATACAATCCAATTTTTTTTATTTTAATACAATAAACAACCTTATCAATCATTATGCTAAATCACATCAAATCTATTTTAAATCTGCTCATCATTATTTAAAAAAAAAGAAGAATTATTGAGAGCAACTTTAAATTTGCATCATATTATGGTTGTTAGTCTTTTAACAAAGGGGAGATGACACCGATTCTCATTCAACTTAATTTTCAAAATGGAAACATGTAACATTTTTTTTAAAACTCAAGACGGAATCCGCATTACAAAATGTGGTTAACATAAAAATAAACTTCTGCACATCTATGCATCCACTGAAACAAACAAACTATTTGATCCCAAAAACAATAAGGATGGGGGCATAAAATCATAAACACATGTATACTTGGATAATCATTCTAATGAACACATCTGCTGCTTTGTAGCAAAATTAATAAATTAGTCACTAGCAATGTAAGTTTGTATCTAGGCTTTGATCTGAGGGGTTTACTCTAGTCCCAGGGACCAGTTGATACCCTGAACCAGTAAAATGATAATTGGCTGCCAGGCAACAAGGTATCGGATCCAGTCCAGAAGATTTCCGTATAGAATATCTGGTCTGTCCCAGCTAGAGAAAGTCAAGGGCTGTAATTTTTTTTAATTTAAACAATACTTTTATTCACAGGTGTAAAAATGAATAGGATTGGGCAGCAGGCTCAGTCTATTTTGGCCTTCTCCCTAAAGGACCATAATGTTTCAGGACACTGAGATGTTAAGTTAAAAATTATAGATAACTTTTAATAGTTTCAATGCTTTAATTGTTGAGAAACAATGGTAATTTAACCAATAAGAAAGGCCAAATCTCACACCAAATACAAGTTCTGAAAGTGTGCATCCCTTGATGTGACATGAATCAAATTTGTCAAGAAAGGTCTATACATTGTATTATTCTGTAGTTTCTTTGGAATTGACCATCTTCAAAACTTACCTGTATACTGTAAACCAACTTTTATTCGCGTGCGAGAAATTTTCGCGATGTTCGCGAGAGCCTTGTCATCGCGAATATTTCTCGCCGTGAACCGGTCCTTAAAGTGCATGTGTCTATTAACAACACATCAAAAAAGGCTTGATCGTGAAAATTAATCGTCGCGAACTAATTTATCCTTGGTAAATCGCGAAATAAAGTCGTCGCGAATAAAAGTTGGTTTACAGTAACTGAGTACCTGATGCATATTTTTAAAGCAATGTAACCAGTTTTGTTTTTTAAACAAAGGAAAATTAAAAGGATACGGACTAGGAAACATTCTTTTGAGATCCACTTTCTCTTTACAGTACGGACAAGTCTGCTTCTTCCCCACTATACACCAGCCTCGTATACAGAACTCGTGGAATCTGGCTAGGTTAAGGAAAACACTTCAAAAATCAAAGCTAGAAATGCAAACATGATCAAGTTATTTACTCTCCCAACTGCAGCAAAACACTATATATTATTTCTTTCTGATCTTTGTATTGCGAATAGGTAAATTAAATATTTTTAATATTCAAGTTAGGTAAAATGTTTACGAAAAAAGAAATTTCATTTTGTTTTTCCAAGATACTTCTCACAAAAAATATAATTGTCATGACTGTATTGGAAAGTATGTTTCATATTTAATAGCTTTTCAAAATGTTACATGGGTAGAAAATATAAGTTGGGACATTCTGTCTGTTACGACAACAAAGGATACATATGATCACAGCCTAATTTACAGGTAGCTTCAATTATTGCATCATCATTGTTCATGACTAAAATAGGGTTCCCACAGATTCCACACACATTGGGGTCCAGTCTCTTACCAGGAAGCCCTGTGGGTGTATAATACTGAAAAGGAAATATTAAAATGAATTCAAAATAAAACTTCAAATGCACATTTTTTATTACACAGAAAGACATTTAAATCATATAAACTTAAAATTGAAAATTAAATTGCTTGGTACACTAAACCATGATACAAATATAATAGGGTCCCAGGGAAGTAAATACATTTTCCTACTCTATTTTGTATCACTTGAAGAAATAAATGTGTTCATTGTAATAGGGTAGTGGGGAATTTTCTCCACCTATAATAATGTAATCCCCTGATTATTCTAGGATTCCCCTGTTAGGGGATAAACCCCAAATTTCTTTCTACTAGTTTAATGTCCCTGCTATCTCAATTCTTAGAAGAGACCCTGAATTGTCGAAAATGTAAATGTATCAATTGAATTCACTGCTACTTTTAATTTAAAAGGCATAATAAAGCTCAAGCCATACCACCTCAGTAACTTAACTGATGTGAAATACATGTATACTATTTTACCTACCCCAATGTGTGTTGCCATGGTGTCTGAACACACTTCAGCAAAATCTCTGGCTACTACTCCAAAGTAGAGTCCATAGAAAAGAAGTAAAAGTCCAAAGTCCATAGAGACTTGTGGTTTGATTAATAAAATAAGATTTAGTCCTAATAATGTGAACATCACTGACATATAGCCCACAATGCCTAAGAAATAGCTGACTTTGTATATTATCAGGAACCACTTGTACACCAACCTGTCAAGAGAATATACCAGTGTTAAACCAATCAGGAAAGTTTTATACAGGATATTTTGATTAATTCTTTAAATAACTCATTGTATACAGAATCAACAAAATGCAAGTCACATCAAATTATTTCAATAAGTACTGCATTATGTTATCTACATGTATAAACCCTACTTCTTTTATCTGTTAGTGATCAATTTATAATTTCATATGAAACTACTGTAAACCAACTATTATTTGCCTCGTCTTGAATAATATTCGCGAGTTTCAGTAGGTCGCAAAACTCACAGATATTTCTCGCACGGGAATAATACTTAGTTTACAGTTTATCAAAAGTGTTTAACTTTGAAATAATCTGCATGTAATTTTTTTTTTACAAAACCACTCAAACTGCAGAGAATTTTGTAGTTTATAGGAATCTATATGGACAATCTGAATTGTGGAAGTTGAAAAAAAAAAATTTCATAGTACATAATTTAATTTCTTTCACTGACAATGGTATTATTCTTTTTTAATTTTTCTACACCCCTAATACCTTGGTGTACTCCCTGAGATAGGTTTTCTGGTGGCTTTAAATGTAATAAATCCTGTGATGATTGAAAATATACTCCACACAAAAATAAAACGATGCCATCCAAACTTGAGACAGAACCCCACTGGAAACAACCACATCCCTAACAAGGTGGCTCTCTAAAATTAAAAAGGGGATTTTTTTTACTTTCAAATTCTTTTCAAAAATTTTTCTTTTGTAATTTAGATCAACATTCTTCTAGTAAATTTATGGTCAGAAAATATCAACCAAATGAACAAAATAAAAAAAAAAATATGATTTTTTAAAGATTTTTCAAGTATGTAAGTAATTTCTTTTGGAAACAAAATTATTATAACTATCTATTTTTCAAATTCTATGCCTTGTTTTTGAACATAAGGTGCTGTTTATTTACATGTTATATATGTAATTCTGCAACACATACTTGGTATGATTTGAAATGCCTCTGTTTCCATTGGACCAGAACAATCTGTGCTACCACTAGTGTGGCAATCAGAATCAGCACCATCTCTAGGTGCATGGCCTCGTGACCTCGGTGTTTCTCGTGTAACCTCTGATGCTCGATCCTACAATACAGGAACGTATTATCACTTAGATGTCTCTTTAAAAAATCAGGCTTATTTATTCAGAGCAAGACTACAGTGTATTTACTTTAAAGCTGTGAAATATTTCCATGGCAGTGTTTAAACTTAAATAATAAAGTTGTACCAAATTAATCAATCATTTACAAAGCACACAATCATCCTTGATGCTTTTATAAGGTTCTACAATTTACCTCCATCTTTCTTTTTCTGGTAATTTGGCAAGTTCTTCGTCTGACTGTAAAATTCAAGATTAAAAGATATCAAATAACTAAATAAAAATAATCAATATATGACCTATATAAATTAAAAACACTTGTGAAAACACATTGCTGTCCTTCATGCTTATAACAAATTCCTACAACTATAAACCCATACATAAATCCATGTGATACAAAACAAAATTACTCCTTCAATAACCATAATATATGTACCTCCAGATGAACCAGTTGAAAATGTGCTTTTGGATACCTGGGAAATTTCTGGGACACACCCATTACATCAATTCTTATCCATTTCAAGTAAAATGCAAAGAAACAACAAGCAATTTCTCTAATGTTTTTGTCCTTGTGTGTAAACTGCAGTTGTAAAGTCATGAGAACAGCTGTGCCATTGAACAAAACAATCAATGATTTAGTCAATCTGACAACTGAATGTCTACTCACCAGCAAAGGAGTTTATCATTGTGTGAATTCATTGATGGTGAGTTATTGATTTAAGAAATTCTTTTCAGTTTTCTAAGGAACAGCGTAGTTTATGGCATTATCACAATACATGTATATTATTAAACAACGGATTCATAAGGGTCAGAGGGGGCTGTTTAATCTTCAGAGAACAAAAGCAAAAAGTCTGTATAAACTCAATTACACTTTAATAGGCCTTACTGTTACATGTATTCTTTTTGCCTGCTTTTAAATCTTTGCGTGTTGGTTGTAGATATATATATTTAATAACTCAAAGTTATTAATGTGTACATATACATCTTAAATTAATAGTATATTTCATGTATTAATTATTCAGCCGAGCTAAGGTCCATGTTGTGATCATTAGAAGTTAGAGCTTCAATAAATAGCCATTAAATTAATACTGATTTTAGTGTAGCTGGAGGTATAAATATAATTTTCACTATACATACATAAAACTTGAATCAAAACTTTTAATTCGACCTCATTTGTAATGCTTTTAATTTAAATTCATGCACATTCAAACTTGATCTTCATCAGCTGATGTCACAAAATATCATGGTACAAAGGAAGTACATGTAGTTCTGTAACAGAGTCCACCTTGGTCAGTCAACCTATGGACCTATCGGGATACCAAACCTTACAAACAATTAGTTATATCTGTACAAATCTTGTAGTACCTACAAAATTTAAGAAGTACATCAGCTGATAGAGGTCAGGTCTTCCTCTTATAGATGGTACATACTTTTAATTACCACTTGTTGAGTAAAATTTGTACTATGGTGCAAGGGCATCAACAACTATTGACAGTGAATTTCATGCTGATGCTCATACACCAGCTGATGAAGATCAAAGTTTAAAATCCAAATCCTCTATAGACAGATATTGTGCCTTGGTTGGAAAAATCAAATTTGAACAAATTTTAAGTCAAAAGCATTATAAAATAAGTTGAATTAAAAGGTAAAACATTCAAGTTGTGTACTTTTGTGTAGATGGAGTAGAATATTTCAATAAGGGCTTTATATTATATATGCATCTCATTGATGAAACTTTAATGTGCATGTATTAAAATAAACTTTTTTGACAATAACTGTGGGACTACTATTTTGACAGTCAAAATGATGTATTTTGATGATTCATGATAAAAAGGAACTGTTTAAGGTCAAGATCTAGTAAATGTCCTTAGATTAACATTTTGGTGCTAGATCCATTATGATGTCATAATCACTTTCAACTTTCTTTTTCCCGTACTTTACGGCTCCAATAGAATTATGTAGAAAATAAAGTACTTTCATGGAATTCAATTTGAAATCACCTGAAAAGTAGTCCAGATACCTACATTAAATTTAACATTATTTAAAAGAAGAGACCAAGAAAATACAAATTACCGTTTTCTGAAAGACTGTAGGCAATCTGGATACATTTTGTTTGTGTGATATGGGAAAAACTCCCATATTCATGACTAATTTTCTTTATTTTTCATTGAAAATGACAGTTTAAAATATGTTTTTTCATCCTATTTTCCTACAAATTATGCCCCGAAAAACCTTTTTTGACCAAGCTTAAGTTATAAAGCATCATTAAAGGAATTCATTTCTTGAATTTGATAAATCTGTAGGCACCCTTCATTTACTAGATCTTGACCTTAATGTAACAATTTTTTTTTAATTTGCTTTACAAAAGAGTGGCACCATAGCTGCAAAACTGTAGCTCTCTGCTTGGGAAAATTTGGACAGATAAAGCAGATTGCTACAGAAAAAAGCTTTGAAAAAACCTTCAATTACTTCACCGATATTTTCCACTCACTTCAGGTATTATTTCTTGTAGTTTATGCTTCACTCTTAGAATGGTACCCGATAATAAGTCACATATTTTACTCCAATTATTGATAATTTATTTACCTTTCAACGGTCCAAAATAGCACTTTATGGTTTTGGAATGTCAATTTTAAAGATATCCATTTCTCCCTTTAACACGTCCACAATCGGCTCTTCTTGAACCGTTGAAAGGTAAATAAACATTTACGAATGGGAGTTCAATGTATGATTAATTATCAGATATCATTTATAGAGATTCGGAAAACATAAAATACAAGAAATAATACTTTGAGTGACAAAAAATCAGCGGTGTAAATCAAAGGTTTTTAGAATGCATGAATCTTTAGCTCTCTGCTTGATCTGTCCGAATTTCTGAAGCAGAGATAGTCCAAAATATCTGATGTTTTCCTGGCTTTTGTACCGTTTTGATATTTTAAATGCGTCAGAAACAGCACCATTACAAAAACTGAAAATGTTGCCGTCTCCAACCAGAGATGATTTATGATATTTGCGAACTGAACTAAATGCTGAAATCAGAATTTATCAATAGCACAATGCTTCCAGTACCTACCATTGTCGGAAACCCACGGTCGGTCTCGCTTCTCTTACAGGTAAGAGAAGCGAGACCGACTGTGGGTTTCTGACGATGAGCACTTACCAACATCGACCTAAAGAAAACATCACTCTACATTTTGGACTTTAAATTTTAATTCAGTTATCAAGTATCTAAAATCAACCCAAGAATGCCGCCTCCAAATGGAGGAGGTGAATTCCCAGTTTTCGTAATTGCACCAGTTCCGACATTTTCTTGGCACGAAAAATATCAATGTCGTTAAAAGCCAGGAAAAGTTCCGATATTTCAGATTGAGCGGAGAGCTACAGTTCTGCAGCTAGTAGCACCGCAGTTATGCAAGGGATAATACTTGAGATGAAATTGATAGGAGAGAAAGCATGCATTACAAGAGCATTTCAATAATTTAGTTCATACAATTGTTTAGCAGATAAGTGTTACTAAAATATGTTCCATCTATTCTTCTATATCCCCATCATTTACAAACAGACACTGTAAAATAGCTTTGTGCATTGTGTCCGAGAACATCTTTGTTTAACTGTTAAAATGTACCGTTTTACTGTTTCTCGCAATCCCCAAATATGTATAATTAAATTTTACATGGTATTAGTTGAATAGAATCCATGCCTGTTTACAGTTGATGGTTTTATCAAACCACTAAATTCTGGAATACATTGACAGCATTGAGGAAATTCGGATTGTGTCAAATGTTGAAAACTATCAGTCGGAATCGCTTAGATATTACATCAAAGTCTGAGGACAATTTTCATCTCTTAATCTTGTTATGAAATACGAAAACATGAATAAAACCCCTTACAATATTGAGATTTATAGGTGCATGTCCATGTCCGGCGTGATGGTGGTGCGCCATCTTGCCTACGTAAACAGTTGAAGCGACATCTATCGTTTCACTAAAGAGCACAGTGGGGGATTCAAACGAAAAGCTGGAGGGTGGAGAAGTAAAGAAAACTTTTACAATGTACATTTCTTTTCATTTTATTTTCACCGGGAGTACCAGTATGTGTACCTTTCAGTCTAAAAAAAATAATCACCCTCGATCCACCCTTCCTTCTTTACTGAATTGTTCTTTGGGATATGCATTGATGTTAAATAAATCATTTATGAAATATTATTACAGATATTCAATTTTAAAAAAATATATGAAAAAAGTAATCAAACCCACTTTTTACTTTTTGAGCAAATAAATCCACCAAATTACAGAGAACTGAGTGATTATTGGTGTAATATTTTCCGTCCGTCTGTCTGTCCGTCCGTCAATTTCTCCATCGTTCATGGGTGCGAATCATATCTTGCACTGTATATAGCAAGTACATGAATTAGAATCCACCATCGGACATGATGTAACTTGAATAATTGTTTAAAATATTTGAAGAAACTCCTTAAATCCCCAAAAGGGCATTATCATTGCCAGCTCTGGATTCGTGCACCCTTAAATTCCACAGACGCAATGTCAGAAGACGAATCTTGGGTCAGGATGAGTTGTGTCGCAACTCCAACGTAAATGAAATAAATATTATCCTTCTTCCATTTCAGATTCATTTGTACACATTCAGATCGTATGTGTTTGCACGGACTGTTCCAGTCCCGGGGGAAGGGGGGGGGGGGGCAGTGCGCTTTGTCCAGTTCTGCCGTTTGGCTTCCTGGCGGTGATTTCATTATTTCTTATCCGTGGACAGTGACATAAAAGACACTAACATCTATCATTTGAGTATAACTTTTATATTAGAATTAAAAAAAAAACATGCAATGCCATGCAAAATCTATAATTATGTATGAATACGAAACCCAAAGTTCCCTGATCAAAAGTTATATAGACTAGAATATTAAAAGATGAAAAAACCAACCGTAACTTAGTATTATAATAATATAATATGCCAAATGATTTACAAGTTTTACTATAAAGTTATAAAAAATTGATCCTTTTTCCGTAAAAATGATACCAAAACATTAGGTGCCAAAGATACTAATAATAAAAAGTAAAAATAAAAAAAATGTATGTTTTACTTAGGCAAACTGTCTCGTTGAGATTATGTAATTTTAATTTAGAAATGGAAATAATGAACCAAAAGCAATTTTGGAAACATTATTTATTATTCATGGGTTTACACTTAACTTTTATATCTTTAACCCACCATTTTAAGCTAGAAGTCTAAAATCATTTATGTTATATTTACATTCAGTGTAATTTTCTTTATGAAATCCATTACAAATCCACGACGTTCAAATCTCTATAACACACGCCAAACCTTGTCACCGCGCGTTAGAATACACAGTAGGAACTATATGCATTTTCAATACTCTAGAATATCAAAATGTAAATTATTTTGACTGAGTTTAATTCAACAACTATAACCCTATTAAATTAACGTAAAAATATAACAAATATGCGTAAATAATTAATTTGTCAATTTTTTTCCTCG